TTGGATTGAGACATAAATTTAGAATAGGAATTATTACTGATGATCTCAGTTCTAAATAATAAGGGAGTCACTCCAAAACAAAGGTAGAAAATTGGAAGATAACTACCAAATAGTCAAATAGATGTGTAGGCCCATAACCAATCTCTATATTCAAACTAATTAATTAAATAATATGTATATATTTCTCCTTTAAATAAGTCTCTTTATTGCTAATTTCAAATTCCAAAAACAAAATTAAATAATAAGTATGGTTCGAGTCTTTAACTTTTCTGACTTATCTGAAAATGGGAAGAAGGTATATGATCAACATCATATCCAAAGTATTAATTTTATTTTAAAAATAAATAAAACTATTTTATCACTGAATTTTAATAGAATTTTATAGTAAAATCATGATTCGAGTCGTCTCTAACTTATTTGAAAATTGGAAGAAGGTTTACAGTTAATATCGTCTCTAAGCTATTAATTCTACATTAAAAAGTTAAAACTATTTTATCACATCGTTAATTTTATTAAAGTGGAAAAAAATCAAACTTAACCTTGATGTTTTTAAATAAACCCAAACTAATTAATCAATTTTCGAACCATAACTATATGATCTTGATTTTCTATTGTACCTAGGAATATGTTGAAGTAAGATGAACCCTTATCACAAAAATAAAATAAAAATAAAATATTTTATTTTAGTAATTAAAATTTTAATAAATTTGTTAAAGGGTATAAAAGTCTATGTGATTAGCGAGAGTACCGTTTTAATACGGACAGTGCGCTAATATCTTCCCCGATCTCTAATCAACTCCAGATCTTAGAATCTTTGTTTAAAGACCATTTTTATCCAATTCAGAAATAAAGAGAGTTTTTTTACGTTTTAACTGCAAAAAACATAGTGGCGACTCCATCATTTGGGAGAGTTTGAAATCGAGTTCGTTTCTTCCTAAGTTGCAGGACAGGTCTTCCAACCGAAATTCATGTCGCAACAACATTTATATATAATCAAATAGTTATAAATATAAATTATTAATTATATAAGAAATTATTCGGTCCGATATCAGACGATTTAACCGTTTAAACCAATTAAACTTAATTCAAGACCCCTTTCACTTTCATTTCCATCTTCGATTTCTATACATTAATTATAACCTATTATAGAAACTAAATTGTATTAATATTGGCTAAACTTTGATGTATTTCTAATAATTAAGGTGTAATATTCTTAGCAAAATGAAAATGGTGTACCTTTATAATCCAAATTACATTTTAGAAAAGCACCAAAAAGAGAGTATATAATTCACTATACTTACACACTATACACACATATTAAAGATAACTTTTTAAGAGCACCAAAAATATAAGATTTTACATCTAATTAATTAATAATGAGAGGTCTTACATCAAACACGACTCATACAATCCATAAGAAAATGATATATTCTCCTAATAACTTCTCTTACTTTATTAATGATTAATTTATAAGTAATATATATCACTTTCTGATAAATATGATGATTTATAGAAGAAAATAACATTACTTATATTTATACGTGTAATTAAAATCAAACAATTATAACACATCAATCTTAATTCACTAGTTCTAAATGCCTATTCAAGAATTATATATATATATATATATATATATATATATATATATATATATATATATATATATATATATATATATATATATATATATATATATAGGGGTTTGCTAACATAAGTAACCCTCCTTTTTAGTTAGGTATATGTTAGCATTGAGTACCATAAAAGTTGGACAAAAAATACCCTTAATGTCATATTGAAATGAGTAGTAATGATAAGAGTATTTTGGTAAATTTTTATTTTAAAAATAAAAAATAATAATTTATTATTTTCTCTCTCATCTCACTCACCATCTCAAACATTCAAACTCATTTATTCAATCCAACTAAGAATCCTAATTTGCTACTACAATGCTATAAAAGATGAAAGCCATCAAACACAGTGACGAGGTGACAGTTGGGTGAACGTGGTGGCTGGTTGTGGCTGGGTGGTTTTAGAAGAAGAGAGAAAATTAGGGATTTGAAAGTTGAGAAAAAATGAAATGAGGAGGATGATTGAAGTCTAGGGGTGTGAGATGCAATAAAGTGAAATTACGCAAATAACCTATTTATTAAAACTTTTTACACCAAAATATTAATGGTATTTTTATCTAAATTTTTTGGTACACCTTGCTAACATGTACCTAACTGAAAATGCACTTTCCCCATGTTAGCAAACCACACATATATATAATATAAGGTTTTGCTAACACGGGGAAATGAGTTTTTTATTTGGTATAGTTTAGCATTGTGTACTAAAAGTTTTGAACACAATTAACCATCATATTTTAATTGTAATGGAATTAGTAATAGGGGTAATTTTATAATTTTCATTATACAAAAAATCTAGTCCTCATCCCTAACCTTATTTCCCTCCCCATTAACCTATTCATCACAAACACCAAAAACTTATTCACCACGAGAGCCTCCGCACACCATCTGTACCACTGCACCACCATACATTGTTGTATCACCGCATACCACAATACACCATCACATCGCCTCACTGCACACCATAGCCCCACCCGCAAACAACAACAAAACACTAACAATACAAGGATACATATTTTAAATTCAAGAACTAAAAGAAACAATGACATTCTTTTAAGCAATGATCAATCAATTAGTAGTAGATTAATAGAAAGGAATGATTGTCTCCACTCTAGAATTCCCTAGTAAAATTAGAATATAAAAATTTCACATACTTAATATTTTCACCCACATGGGAGTCCACATCGCAATGGTATGGCGGTCCTAGGTGATGCCGTAGCATGGACTCACGTGGAGGGTGGTGGTGGCAGTTTGTTTGGTAGTTCTTGTGGTGAAGAGTTTTTGGTGTTTTAGGATAAGTAGGTTAACGAGGAAGAAAGAATGTTAAGGATGATGAGTGATTTTTTTAAATGAAAATTATTAAACTATCCCAACTACTAATTCCATAACAATTAAAATATTAGTTTTATAGCTAATACATTTAGGGTTTGGTAAGGACGATTCTTTATCCGTCCCTACCCGGCCTAAATTGAAAATTATTATAGCTATGTTTTGGCCCATTTTGTATTTTGCAAACATAACGTTAACATTTTTCATTTCCCTTTCTCTTCTTTCTTCACCGTTTCCCATAACCCACATAACCTTCAAGATTTGATTTTTCATCTATTGACGCTGGCAATTCGAAATTTCTTACAAACCCATTTGTGATATGGATCTCAATTTCATACAACACCTCTCATTGCTCCAAATTTCAGCTCCCTTATTTGACCTAGATCTAGGGTTTCCACTTCCCCTTTTTCGTGAATTTTCTTGAAAATTTACATTATGGGGTTCGATTGGTACAGATTTTACCTTAATGGGTTCAATCTAAAACCTTTGGAACCCTTTGATTTCAGCTTCTAAGTCGAAATTCTCAAGAATATCATGGTGTCTAGGATTGAACTCTTGGTGCCATTGAAGGATGTTCCAAATTCTGAAAAGATGAACATTTTTGTGAACAAGTTGAGTTTTTGCTATGTTACTTTCGATTTCGCTGAACCAGGTAAGAACATTGTTTGAACTTGTTGATTTTGTAGCTTGTGGTGGTTCAATGAAATTTAAGCTTATTATTTGACAAAGAAACTGTTTTATTACTTGAAATAATAATTATAATGTAATAATTTGTTGAAAGAAATTAATGAAGTATATGGTAATAATAAATATTTGGTGCAAGAATCTACAAATAATAAATAAGTGATATGGTTTTAGGAATAAAAAATATATATTTAGTTACATAATAACATAACGGTAGTAAAAGATTTGTGTAACAATTATTACAATGAGAACCAAAACAAGATATTTTATAACATAGTTAGTTGTATTCATATTATATATATATAAATAGTGTAATAGTTCACTTCAACACACTCTCATTAATTCATTCAACACTTACATACATACATTAATCACTACTCTTTCCTAATTCATTGTCCCTCTTTCAAAGATGATGAATAAGAATAAGGATCATGATAAGAAGAACAAGAAGCCTCGACTTGCTTGGTCGGTGGAGTTGCACCGCAAGTTTGTTCATGTTGTTAATCTTTTAGGAATTGAGAGTATGTTTTCTTCTTCACTTTCTCTATTATTCATGCATACTCTTACTATACCCTTTTCTTTGTTATCAAGATTTCTATTATTTTTGCATCATATTTGACACTACAATCACTTGTTTCTGTCTCTCATTTCTTCTTTTTTTATCTGTTTTATATCGGTTTCAAGAAAGTAACATGTTTTTTGTATCTTCTTTTTACTATGTTTTTGTCTTGTTTTTTAGCGACACTTAACTTTCACTTAAAAGAAACATACAACTTATTATGTAGAATGATTAGATAAGCTCCACAATATGTTTCTCACTCCTTATCTACAACAATATTTTTTCCTACAATTAACATTGATACTAAAGGTTATTCATTTAGTATACATTTTAAGGGTAGATATCTTTTATGGATAAGTGTTAAGTTATTATGCTTTTTAACTATGACTAGCTATAAGTTGAATATTGTACAAGACATGAAGTACTTGTTTAAAAGTAAGGTGAAAGCAAAGTAAGGATATCAGAATCAACTTGGCATAAAAAGCTAAGATAATATGTTGCATTGTAACTATATACTTTCATTGTCATAAGTTTACTGATCATGATATCTATAAGTGAAAAATAGTGTCATCATATCTAAACTAAAGCTACAAAATAAATATAGCTGGTGAAAGAATCGGTGAATGCACACGACGCTATTGTTGCATTACCACATTGGGTGGGAGAAGCTGTAGAACAACTTGCACCAACATGTCATGTTGTGCCTTCAATGCTTGGATCGTCTCCCTTAATTGATGAGTCTTATTTCTGGTTGCAGCAATCTCTTGTTTCAGCTCTCCAATCTCGATCGACTCGTGGGAGATGCAGCTGGGAGATGCAACAGTAACCAAGTTTTCTGGTGAACCAAGATTATTATTAACAACATCCTTCAACGAAGTCAGTGTGTTTGGTGAGGTACCAATAACATTTGAAAGGTCAGTTGTGTCCTTATTATGGTCTTCCCACCATTGCAGAAACACATTATCGATCAACGAATCAAGGCTTTCGTCGGAATGCCATGTTGGCATCGGCATTTCTTGAACAGCATCGTTCTGATACACAGGATCACTTGGAGAAACATTCTGAAATTGTCCACAACCAATTATAGAACCATTTCCACTTGCCACACAGTTGCTGCTAATTCTTTTGAGAAAAAGTTTATATTTCTGCAATAATTAAAGGAACAAGTTAATAAGGTTCAATGAAAGGCTCAACTTATATTAAACTAAAGGATATACAAAGGAATAGAAAAGTACCTGAAGATGACTGGCCACATTCTCCTTTGTAAGTCTTTCATCATTCATCAACGCGAGAATTTTTCTAGGTACAGCATCTGCAACCAGAATAAACAATATTATGAGGCACAAACATAATCATTTATATTCAGTATAAAGGAACATTTCATGGCATGGTAAAATCAAATCGAAGAAGGAAGCAAAATTAAGTGATATGGAAATGAAGCTCAATAATAACAAAGGACGAGCAGCAATTGAAATAAAAAACAAGAAGAAAAAATGCTGTACATATTATACTAGTGACCTTATTTGAAGGCCATGAAATGATATGGAAAAATTGATCAGTGAATTTGGATAGGTGAAGCACAATCTTTGGTCAATTCCAACTCATGTTAATGAACAAAGGAATAAAGGGAAGAAAAACATGGCACTCACAAGATATGACCAGAAGCAACTAATTTACATTATACTTTGGATAAAAAAGGAAATATAATTAGAGATGAAAGAGAAATCAGTAGAAGATAAGAAGTTAGCATCCACATAAAAAAAACCCAAATCCCAGAGAAACAAGAACAAAAAGAAAAACATATTGTGGAATATCAATACAGTATTTTGTTTAATACATGTAACCATAAATACTAAATGAACAACCTTTAGTATCAATGTTAATTGTAGGAAAAAATATTGTTGTAGATAAGGAGTGAGAAACATATTGTGGAGCTTATCTAATCATTCTACATAATAAGATGTATGTTTCTGGAATAAGCCACTGTGTATGTTAATGTTATATATTTTTAAAATTTTCAAAAAGAACTTTCATATAATTTGATATGTCACTCTTTCAAATAAATTAAATTAGTAAAAGGTTGAAATAATAAAAAGACCAAATTCATGCATTATTCTTGGATGGATGCAACATGAGGCAAATTCATGCATCGCTAAGATTTGAGGTTAGAGAGACTTAAAAACAAAACAAAAAAAGTGAATAACTGGTATATTTATTATGCCAATAGGGAAATGATAAATACATGAATACAATTATGATGGAAAATAGGGTAAAAAAAGAACAGAAAATAATTTATACAATAACAAGGTAAAGTTTTATACACTGTGTATAAGTCTTTACGGTGAAAAATGAACCATCCATCCTTAATTAATGAGAGGCCTCCCAATATTTAATTGCACATCTGATCCACTCTGCTTAACTGCAAATCTTAAGAAATCATCTGGTATATGAATGTTTAACTCTGAACAAACTAATTTAACAATTTTCACCTATATATGCATAAAGGTAATGGGTAGGGATCCACTTACTCCAAGAGTAAGTGGAAAAACACTTACTCCACATCCTGATTATTCATTCTTGGGAAATCCAATGGTTTGAATTGGTGAGTACATCTAAACCATTTGATTTTTCAAGATTAGATGGCTAAGATGAAGAGTAAGTGTTTTTTTGGAGTAAGTGAATCCCCCTCGAAAGGTAATTGGATTAGCACATTGTGCCACAAATCATGTAGTTGCATATGACATACCAATTGTGTTTTTGTGTGTACACTATATATTCATTATGTTATTATCAATGCTAACATAAACATGATAATACATATCACTCAATCAAAGTCATAACAGAAATTGGGCATAGTCATAGATAATATGAATGAATGAAGAGCAAGCACATGGTGTTACATAAAATAAAAGCATATCGTAATAAAAAAACATAAAAAACTTCATCATAGAGCCTCACAATCCATATACAAGGTCCTACCAGAATTTATGGTGATTTCAATTACTTCTCTGTTTTAAGATTTTGAACATTTTTCTTTTTCAGAATCATTTATAGCTAGTAGGTTTCTTATTTTTTTATTTTTATTTTCATATTACATGATATATAAAAATAGACAATCGACAATGTGGAACTAATCAATAATACTTTTTCATCAAAAACTTTACATCACATTCTATTCTAATCCATAATTCATACAATTATCCTTTGTTTCAATTACAACACTGATAAAGGTATTCATGCTAATCTTATTGCATCTTTCGAAAAAGTTCATTTATACAACATAGTTACTTCAACATATTTCTCATATTACATACATTATACAATTATAATTTTGGAATACAAAAACGACTACTCCAGTCTATACTCCCATCAGCAAACATCCACGACGCCACAGCAACATCCTGAACTCATATATAACACATAGACAAGGAAAAGCAGAGGGAGTAAGAACCAACTACGGTGACCGTAGCGTGGAATTACATGGAGTAATATCATTAAAGTATAACAACCTATACAATCATCTAAAATCAATCATAGTAAACATATACCATTTATATACCAGTCAATACCTTAAACCACATAATGTGCACCTATTCAATCAGTATAATCACCACATTTCTTATAGACATTTCAACGCATCAGTACAACCCTTCTACAACAATTCAATACAACTACGACCACCCAATATCACAAAGGGCCAATCAAATCAACATCACGAATGTAGGTCACATCCATACCACGAAGGCATATCAAAATTCCATACCACGAAGGCAGGTCAAACTCCATACCACGAGGGGTAGGTCAAACTCCATACCACGAGGGGCAGGTCAAACTCCATACCACGAGGGGCAGGTCAAACTCCATACCACGAGGGGCAGGTCAAAATCCATACCACGAGGGGCAGGTCAAACTCCATACCACGAGGGGCAGGTCAAACTCCATACCACGAGGGACATATCACAATTCCATACTACAACATCAATACAATATAATATTTTCACTGCATTATTCTAACATTGCAACTTCCTCAAAACACAAGACACCACATCAATGTCATAAACATAATGTATCTCATATCCTACCACAACAGAACCACTCACAACATCATCATCACATAATATAATTATGTCTATTTATCCCAACAAGCGGTTCATCACAAAATCATTATTACAAATAAACCCACATATGTTTATAGCAATTAAGCGACTCACAACTTAATCATTTTCATAGACATACTCGTCGCCACATTTAACAAATCAACAACTCATCACACAATCATTGATACAAACACACCCATATATATTTATAGCAAATCAACCATCCATAACACAACATTATCATAAATAAACCACACACAACATATTCTTCATCACATAACACATTAACGTTAGAACCATCTTCTCACATGGGCCATAAACACCCAAAAGAGTTTCTATCCGTTAATATGCTCCGATTCTTGAGGGGAAATCGGAGAATGATGACTCTAATGAATTACTCTAAGACCACAATGGTCTTCTCCCTCACCTTAGGTTGCGTAAGCTCCGTTGCTCCGCAAAAGAGCTCGATCTCCCTCCATCTCCTTCAACCTCCATTGTTGCTTTTTCCTCTCCAAAGCACTCCAATGTTCCATTAAGAAGCAATAGGAAGAGGTTTGATGTGTTTTTGAGGTTTAGTGGAGGGAATGGTCGGAATCCATGAGGAGTCGCCGCTAGGAGTGAAAGGGGATAAAAGAAGTGAAGATTAGGGTTTCTAGATCCCCTTTTCACTTTTATAGCTCGGACGCTCGCCCAAGCGAGGGATTCTCGCTTGATCTCACAGTGGCGATATTTTTATATGATGTAATCGATTACATGCATAGTGTAATCGATTACATCATGAAAAATTACACATATCTGACATTTTTATACGATGTAAACGATTACATGAATAGTGTAATCGATTACATAATAAAAATTACACATGTCTGATCAGATATCAGCATGTAATCGATTACAAGGACCATGTAATCGATTACACTGTGTTAACAGCCCAAAATTGTCATTTCTCGCCCAGGCGAGACAACTCTCGCTCGGGCGAGAATCCTCCAGTATAGTTCAGGATTTCACCTTCCCAGGTGATCCTTTCTCGCTCAAGCGAGACTTCCAGGACTGATACTATAATTTTAAAGACTCAAAAATCAGGATGTTACAGACAATGTGTTGATCTAGCAGTACACTGAAAAAATGAAAGTGTGTGATGCACTTAAGAAAATATATAATACTCTAGAAGTTGATATTAAAAAATATGTTAGGAGTCGCTATCTTAAATGATTGATGATAAATCATTAGAGATTCAATCCTATGAGTTACATAAAATTGTACGTGAAATTATATCTCAAGAGATGTCTATGTATAAGGAATTTCAAGTAGATGTCATCATTGACAAACTACCTCACATGGAAGGACTTTATAAACCATCTCACACACAAGACTAAATAATTTTCTCTAGAAACTCTTACTAACCACAAAAAAAAATTGGATCCCTCCAAAGGTTCGTACTGCAAGACAACGACCATCTATGAGAAATGGCTCTAATGAACCATTCATATGGTACAAATGTGGTTAGCTAGGTCATATGGCATGCAAATGCATTAACAAACAAATGTGTGGTCCTCCACAAGCCAAAATGATTGAAGAGTCATTCTTTAGTATGATATCTTAGGTCACTATAGTTGGAGGATCAGAAGAGTGGTGGTAGACATGGGCGCCTCCCGCTATGTATGTTATGCTCGTGTTATATTTAAAAATACACGATAGCTGATGATGAGAAAGTGTTGTTCAATGACTTCTGCACCACTAATGTTGCTGTAATTAGAGATGTAGAGATGAAGTTTGCTTTTAGAAAGACTTTGATTCTCAATGATGTTATGTACACCCCATATATGAGGAATAATCTAGTTTATGTCTTTCTTTTAAACAAGGTTGTGTTCACTCAGACTATAAGAGCAGACTTGTATAATCGTACTTGTTGGAACTCGTGTAGTTGGATGCCATTAGTTGGGACCTTTGGATGTAAAATTGAAAAAACTCACAAGTCCCACGTTGGAAGAATTTGGAAAAATTCACAAGTCCCACATTGGAAGATTTTGAAAAAATCTCACAAGTCCCACATAGGAGGATGCAAGAGTTTTGACAAAATCTCATGCTATAAATAGAAGCATCCCCCCTTCATATTTTCTTGCACCAAAGTTGAGTACACTTTTACTTAACGTTTTCTTTCTCCCTCATATTTCCCGCCGACACATTTCCAGCAAACTTCTCCCCATTTCTTTTCGTGGCACTAAGAATTGGCACAAGCAGCCATATTGTGGGAAGTTTGGAAACTGACACTCGTAGTCAGATTGTGGGAAGAGAATTGACACTGGTAGCCAAATTGTGGGAATTTCGAGAAATGACACTGTTAGTCAGATTGTAGGAAGAGAATTGGCACAAGTAGCCATATTGTGGGAATTTTGATAATTGACACTAGTAGCCATATTGTGGTTGTGTATTAAAGATCAGTTCTTACAGTGCAGTAAGAATTCGATAATAGAGAACTGGTTTTTTAATCCTGGGGACGGCATTGTTGATAGTTTGCTTGCACATTTTGGGCAGTACCACAAAACATCTTAAAGAGAGCGATCTGGTCGTGACTCAGCCAATAAGTTTTAAGACGTTTCATACTGTAATGGCATTCGATATATTACTGGTCCGAACAGCTTCGACCTGAACAAACCATTTCGGTTTGATGAGACTAATTTCAAACGTTGGCAAACCAAGATGATATTTTTCCTAATTGTGAAAAAGGTTGCCCACGTTTTGAAGACTGATGTCTCAATGGTCCATGACCAAGCTGAAAAAGAGGAAATGGATAAACTTGCTATTGATATAACTTTCTGGAATGAAATT